GTATTCTTTTATTTCTTCCATTTTCCATTTCTCTCTATTATTTTCTTATCCCTTGCAACTCTACCAAAGGGACCCGGTTTTTTGCAGGGAACACTGGCCACGTTCCCCGCACACAGAAGAGGTCAGACCATCTCCACCTCAGCAGGAGTTTCCAGCTCATCCTCCAGAGCCCGCTAATGAGGTTGTAGCTCAACCTTCAGTGACTTATGAGATGACAGTTCCATCACCAGGTCAGGATCAAGCCCAGTATACAACACTGCCCACTGTCACAGCTCAACTTTGGACCTGTGGCTGACCGTAACTCCAGAAACCACTACAGAGCTTGAACTTTCTTCAATCATGCAGGAGATCCCAGATCAACCTCCAGAGCCACCTGAGGAAGTTGTAGCTCAACCCCCAATATCTCAAGAGGTTACAATTCCAACACCAGGTCAGAATCCAGCCCAGTATCCAACATTGCCCACTGTCACACTTCAACCTTTGGACCTGGAGCTGACCATAACTCCAGAACCCACTATGGAGCTTGAAGTTTCTCCAACCATGCAGGAGACCCCAACTCAACCACCAGAGCCACCTGAGGAAGTTGTAGCTGAACCCCCAATATCTCAGGAGATGACAGTTCCAACACCATGTCAGGATCCAGCTCAGTATCCAGCATCACCCAGTGTCACATTTCAACCTTTAAACCTGGGGCTTACTGTAACGCCAGAACCCGGCATGGAGGCTGAACATTCTACAGCTCCTCCAAAGACACCTAAGGTGGCATTTCCACATCCGGACCAGGTTCAGGCTCAGCATCCAAGCCTGACTGAAGGCACACTTCAACCTTTGGACCTGGAGCTCGCCATCACTCCAGAACCCACTACAGATGTTGAACTTTCTCCAGTCATGCAGGATACTCCAGCTCAACCTCCAAAGCCACCTAAGGAAGTTGTAGTTCAATGTCCAGTATATCAAGAGGTGACACTTCCGACACTAGGTCAGGATCAAGCTCAGCATCCAGCATCGCCCAGTGTCACAGTTCAGCCTTTGGACCTGGCATTTACCATAACTCCTGAACCCACTATGGAGGCTGAACATTCTATAGCCCTGAAGAAGACCACAGCTCCTCCAAAGCATTGTAAGGTGACATTTCCACCTCCGGACCAGGTTGAGGCTCAGCATACAAACCTGACTGAAGTTACAGTTCAACCTTTTGATCTGGAACTTACCTTAACTCTGGGATCTAATATGGAGGTTGAATCTTCTCTGACCATGCAGGAGACCCCAACTCAGCCTCCAGAGCCACCTAAGGAGGCTGCTGCTCAACCTCCTGTGAATTATGAGATGACAGTTCCAACACTAGGTCAGAATCAAGCTCAGCATCCAATGTTGCCTAGTGTCACAGTTAGACCTTTGGACCTGGGGGTTGAACATTCTCCAGCTCCTTCCTCAAATCATCCTGAGGTGACACTTCCACATCCAGACCAGATTCAGACTCAGCAGCCAAAGTTGAATGAAGTCACAGTTAAACCTTTGGAGCAGGAATTTACTGTAACTTCAGAACACACTGCAGAGGTTAAACCTTCTCCAACCATGCAAGAGACCCCAACTCAGCCTCCAGACCTGCCTAAGGAGGTTGTAGCTCCTGTGTATTATGAGATAGCAGTTCCAACACCAAGTCAAGCTCAGGCTCAGCATCCAGCGTCACCCAGTGTCACAGTTCAACATTCGGACCTGGAGTTCACCACGATTTCAGTATCCACCACGCAGGCTGAACATCCTGTTGCCCTGGAGAAGGCTGTAGCTCCACTTCCAGACCACGTTCAGACTC